AAGCTATAACAAACAGTTATTATTTATAACTTCGTTATAAGTACTAAGTGTATCGCAAATACAATACTCGGTTTGTTTAGAAAATCCTGCCGACCGCAAGTCATTCCGTTGATGAGTTTCTGTGGTCGCAGTTGCACGCAAGCTAATTTTAATGAATTCGATTTTTGTGATTCCTTTTTGCATTAAAAATCGTACATGTTTGTGCGATTATGTGGTCATGCATATTATTTAAGTAGCTTTGAAACAAATTCACTGTTGGACAAGCGTGCACATCTTTGAGATACTCATTGTGTATCGAATGCGTTGCCCACTGCTAAGTACTCATTTGGATGCTTCGCATATTACACTATTACCTTCAATTGATGAGGTAGCAACACTTATTACATATGTATGTATGTATATATGTACATTAGACCGCACCACATTACAAGCAAACACAAAATTTTTTGGCGAACCTACGGACCGCGTTTTTGTATTTTTCGGTAACTCATATGTAAATTCGTCAATAAATATTTTTTAAGAAGCTACAACGAAAAATGACGACCCAATGTTCGCCCAAAAAAGAAATTAAATCGTAATTGCCTTCGAGTTGAGCGACTTTTAAATTAGGGTGGTACGTTGGGGTGAAAGAAGTGAGATCTGGAGGATAAGTGCTAGAATGGGGTGCTTGAGGTCAATGAGAATTCCAGAGCAAAAAAGTGTCGCCTCAAGACACAGCAATATATCATCCTATATAAAATGAAAATGTAAAAAGGCAAACCTTACTTTCGACAAAAAAAGAAAACAAATTTCAAAATTGCCTTTCAAAAATTCTTCCGACTCAGAGATGTATTATGGCAAACTTTTTTTTTTTTTTTGTGGTACGGTCTAATGTCTATATGTGCTTATGCAACTAGTAAAGGGCAGCAATAATTCGGCAAAAAAACCTACGCGCTGCTTGACATGGATAATTTAAATTTGTAACACATATTAGTGTAAATATTTTAAATTTTTTCCCACATCTTGTCAAGCGCTTAGCTGAGTCGTGCGTTTTGTTTGTAGTACATAACTTACAAATGTAAAATATTTGAAATTTAAAGCCTCATTAAATGACAAGGACGCAGTGAGTCACTCATCATTGTGTGCTAAACGAAAATTTTAAGTACCTTTGTTTAAAAAGGCGGACAATGGTTATTCTATCCTGTTTTTCCTAAGACACAAATTTTTCATAAGACAATTTTGATTTTCTGTTATTCGAAAGACGAACTGCAAAACCTGATGGTGAGTTGATCTTAGGCAGGGATCACACGATTTGTAAATATGTACAGTTTTGTACATTTCCACAATTGTTGTCTGGAAAGTTGCTATTAAGCTGAATTCATTCCCGATAGAAATTTCTAGACAACACCACCCTGTGACTGCCAAATGTAAAAATGTACTAATCGTATGATCCCTGCTTTAGAAGTTTCTAACTAAGTCCAACAATTAATACAATGTGTCGACGTCCGGTACCAGCAGGGCTTAGCGTTAATTTGTTTATGTTTCAGCAATTATTTCGCTTGCCAAAAATAAAAAAACGGCCCAGACGTGTGTGAATACTCACACCCATTGGCTAACATATAGATTGGCTAACACATAGTAAATTAAAATTGAATTTAGAGGAGTAGAAATTAAGACAAAAAGGTATATATATATTTATTAAGTTCTAAAATCATTTTAAAGTAAACTTTCAAACTAGGAGTAATTAGTTACCAAAAACTGGTATTTAATTTAAAAAAATTTAAAAAAATAAAAAGTTAAGTTGTTGTTGCAATTAAAAACTTTTTTTTCCAGCGACCCCATTTATTCCAATTTTGGTAGCCGCGCCAATAATTCGGGAACGTAGTCATCAAATTTCGCTTCAAAATAGCTGATAGCAATAGGCTTCCCTAAATTGTATTTTTCCACGATTTCTTTGGTGTTTCGCTTCGCGCGCTTCTCCAAGGGCCTGAAATGGGAAATAAGTAATTGTAAAAATTACCAACATTTTTATAGATACATATTTACATAAAATCTATGCAGTAAAAAGGCTTATTTTACTTACATATCTGACTGAAGCTGATCGTCTTCGGCTTTTCCTTGTTGCTTGAAGACTGCATAGATGTAACGGTTGAATCCTGCGCCATCGCCTGGTGCTGCGCCAATATAATCGGCAACAGTGTGACCCTCAGCAATATTGCTGCCAGGTATATTCACCACCAGCCAGTGCCATGTATCGGCGCATCTACGGTCTGTTCTCGAGGGAGCATCGGGGCAGAGGAAAAGCAGCGTGTAGAAGGCACCATCTTCTGCGGGCCAGCTGACAGTGGTGGGCTTATCTTTAACCTGGGTGGGGGTGAGCTCATTACCGCGTTCCACCTTAACGCCCGAGGAATAGACGACCTTTAAATACCCAAAAAATTAATACACATATATATATATATATTTTAAGACGAAAGACATTTTCTGCACCTCTACAGAGGGAACGTTTTCCATGAGCTGCTCCAAAGTTTCAGTCATTTTTCGAATTTTTATTTTTTTGTTTGTTTATTGGTTGAATTACGTTTGTGCTAAATTATAGATATGCACTTAACTGGCTTGCATTTCGAATAGTGCTGGCTTTTATACTCACTCGACGTCCAATCTATAAAGGACGCTTATCTGTTATCAGCTCTAATAAAATTTAGATTATGGCCGTGACTTTTGGAACTGAAGGTATATTTTTGCAAGTTTTATTTGGTTTTGTTTAGTTTGTTTGCCGTAGGCACTGATTCACCAAAAACGTGAACTTTGTCGTTTACTAATATCGATTAATTGGAACCACAATGACTTTCGCTCGTACAACAAGCATTTATAACTATACATCAGGGTGGATCGCGAAAAAAATTTCTTCTAATTTCAAAACTTGTGAAAGCAAATGAGATACGTAAGTATATTAGATGCTTTTTGCGGCAGTATTTTTTGTCACTCCTACATCGAAATTTTGTGGGAAATACCTACAAAAAATTACCTCAAAATTTGAGCCCGTAATATTAATATTATTTTAGATTTCCCGTTTAAAATAAGCGTAAACTTTTTCTTCAGAGGTCTACAGCTCAGGGGCATTTTTTTGATATAATCTTGGTCAATGATAGGGTTTCTTCAGGATGGAATGCTCTATAAAAGTGTCGGCGTAACCCTACTTCCACCAGCGAAGTAGTGAGCCCTATCTCGTAAATAACAAAAGCTAAAGAAAAAATGTAAATGACAAACTTGTAGGCGATTCAATTTCTTACAAAAAAGGTCCACAACATCAAATCGCTCACATTGATATCTTTTCAGATATTGGGTTTTGAAGTTGATCAACAATTTAGCTCAATAATCCATGAAAATTTCACACTACTTCAACTTAACCTAAGGGCTAAAATTTTCAGGGAATTTTTAAGTTTGCCAAGGCAGCTGACTACGACTTAGTCTGAAAGGCATACAAAGGCTTACTAAAGGACTATACGTAAGTCCAAGAAGGAGTCGGAGAGAGAATTCTGTGGTGGACATATGTGTAAAACAAACGTAATGGCTAAGATAAGCAAAGCCAATGCTAACTAATATTCTAGGCTAGAAAACGAAAAAAAAACTTTTTTTTTTAACAAATATCTCACAAATTTTAGTTTTAATTCTTGTTGCAGCTTCATTTCATATTAGCAAGTAATAAAAAAATACGCTGCAAAACGTAAGTACAAATTGTTTTCTGATGGCTTCAATACAATACACAAATCCAGTGAAAGGGTTAATTATTCAGGAATAGACGGAATATTTCAGAATAGATCATGGAAGATGAAGGTTGAATACAAAAAAAAAATAAAATCGTATGAATCGGGACCGAGTGTTTGTTGAACATTTTAACCTTCCATCTGCTACTTTTAATGAGCTCACATGGAAATGGGTAAAACTAAGGCCAATTATGATTGGAGTAAAAGGGTTAACATTTTCTACAAAAAAAGTTACTTTCCGTTTGACTATGTGTCACCTAAAGCTGCCTTTGCCCGGTTCGATTTTTGTACTGCAACCAAAATCGTGTAAATGGCAATTCAGCCGTAAAATTTAAATGCTGTGGCTAGTCGATTTTCCTGTCTACAGAAATCGATTCGTGTAAGGGCAGTTTAAGGCAAGAATTAATCTTGAAGTCAATTTATACATACAATTATAATAATAATCTCCTCTGATTTATGGCGGGCGCCTTGGTGTTATCACACATAGTTTTACGAAGACTCCGAACAACGATTGTATTTTAAGGAGAAACTGTTTTTCGCTATTAGAAAAGCTTTTTATTCTCTTTTGTTTATAATGACAGAAAGTGGGCTCGACCACAGGTCCAGCGGAATGGTAGTGCGTACTTCTAATCACTCACACCACCTGCAATATAATTGAAATTGTGATCAAAAAGTGGAAACTTGATCCCCGTGTAGAAAAATGTGATGCGGCGAAGCAAAATTCCCTTAGGATTGATCTACCACTTATAAATACTACCGTTTGGGCTTTATTTGGTTGAGGCCCTAAAATTGCTGTTTCATAGTGGAATCCCTATCTGCATGGATAAGGACGAGAAGACAAAAATGCTGACAATAGGCCGTACGAATAAAAGCTAAGCGATTCCGCTTTCTTAAAATTCCAGAGTATATACTTAAATGAGTTTTGAATAAATATTTTATCGTAAATATTAATACTATTTTGCTTTATTTCATATGTGATTTTGGAACAGAGCATACAAGGCGGTTTGGAAAACTAGGAATCTAACAGCCTCCTTACTGTAAAACACACACATAAATAAGTACTCAGTAACTACTCAATAACTTGATGAACAATGAGTCATGCAATGGGTACCTAACATGAATTCACTCAAATTTTGTCATTATAAGTTTTAAACACTTTTTAAAGGAAAAATCGTGAGAAAAACAGAAAAATAAATTCTTAATATTTGACAGCCAGGAAACAAATTTGTTTTCTAAATCTTTTTCGCATTGCTCCTTTTCATATTGGAAAAAATACATTAAATTTTTAATTTTTTATTTGTTCGACCCAACGATGGATCTCACCAACTCATCAAGGCGTAATTCACACCCGAATCGATTGCAACCGGCCCGCTCAGTGAGTCTCGATGACGATGACATTCAAAGCAACAACTCATCTAGTTCCTTCAACATTCTGCTTGCCGCCGCCTCAGACTCAGAATCACAATCGTCGCCAATCAGTGTGCGTGACATGATCAAACGCTATGACACAGTCGCCAAATTGAGCAGCAAAGGTGGCGCACGCATCCAGGCGCCGCCGCAAAAACCACAACAACTGCAGCATGGCTTAGTCGCCATGAAGTCAGCATACTCTGGCGTGAATAAATTCGACACACAAACCGCAACACAACGTCGGTACCCATTGCGTCAGTATGTGGCACCAATGCAGGAGAACACGGGCAGCAAGGCAACGCAAACACACCACAGAAGCGGAATGCAGAATGGTGACCACAACAACAACAACAACAACAACAACACTAAAGTGAAAAGCAATGATAAGTTTAGTGACAACAGCAGTGTGGCAAGAAATATTGATGCGGCTTTGAAATACTTTTGCATTCTGCCAGAACGCCATGTCTCTTTGAGTGACAGCGAAAATATTTACATAGCCGATCACAGCCGGCGCAGATCTAGGTTGGTGTAATTGTGAATATATATTTCGAAGTGTGATTATGATAAATGTACGCTTCGTATTAAAGATCGCCAGATCGTAATATAAATGATGTTTCATGCAGCTTGCAAGCGGTTACATCAGACGCGAACAATAGCCCAGAGGCAACCGATGGCATTGAGGAGGCTAATCTGCAACCAATAGAGACTTCGTATCAGAGCAAAACAACGATTGCCAAGACTGCTGGTGGTGAGTGGTGAAGGGAGGGCGGAGTTTTGGAATAATAATTTTCCATAAGCTCGCATTCGATAGGGAAGCGGAAGTTGATCTAAGTTTATTTATCAGTCCTTACTTCAAACGCAGTGATTACTCAACGAAACTAATAAGTTGAGATATTTAAGGGGAAAATTGAGATTTATTAATAATTCCAGCAAACATTTGGAGTCATAAATGAGTCTTTAAGGAGTTCTCCGAAGGTCGACTTGTATGAGCTTAAATACATAGATCAAATGAGCCTCAACATGAGTCATATTGAACTCTTATTGGCCTCATATACGGCTCATTTTGGACTGTTTTAAACAATTTTTGGCCTCAAATATGAATCATTTCAGACTCTTTTTTTGAGGCTCTTATCGCCCTCATAAATTACTAAATTCGAACTCTTATTTTAGGTTGTTCTTTGAGTCTTCTTGAACGCACTATATTTGCAAAGGCATTCAGCCAAAATTTCTTCCAAATAACACACATACATACTTACGTGCATATACGCATTCCAACATGCATTTAATAGCAGCAGCTGGAGCTAAATTTTGTCCATTTTTATACCCGAGCGCACTGTGCACAAGGGTATATTAATTTTGTTCACATAACGGTTGTTTGTAACAGCCAAAACGAATCGAGATAGATATAGACAAATGTATACATAAATGATCAGGATGAAAAAAGAAAT